ACATAATAAATAGGCACAGTCAATCGATGACCATTCAATCAACAACAATAAACACGTAGTTGAACAAATAGAGAAATTCAACGTCTCAATTATATAAAAACATAACAAGAATTTATCCTACAAAAGGTTCTATCAAAACCTTAGATACCAATTTAGCTATTCATAATAGTATGTAAAACTACAATACTAAAAATCATAACCAACAATGAAAAATAGGAANTCGTTTGGTTGCTTTGTCACCCGTTGATCCCCGAATAGGATCCCGGCTTAATTCCTTGGGCTTTTACTCAGACTTCAAAGCTCCAAATCACTTGAATTCATTCTATAACATCTATATAGCTCGAAATCACTCCTACAAGGCATAAAACACACCGTTAGTGCAAAACACTAGCGATTAAAGCGCAAACTCAACTAAAGTGCAGTAAATTAGAGTGTAATAATCGACTAAAATACACAATTATAGCCTATCATCAATAGATTATCAACAATTGGAAATATTTTATCCATATTTTACTTAATTTATGAGAGTTCTAACTTGTATCCTTATTTTAATGATGCCTTAGTAATAATATTAGGCATCACAACTCGATAAATATTAATCGTTCTTACAAATGATATCTCAATCGCATCTTACTCTACATATGATGTTTTTCTAAAGTATTTCATATTACGCATGATGGATTACATAATAAAATCAATTTTATTCCTAAAGAATATACAACTCTTAGTAAAAATAATTTTCTTATTTTATATATGTGTAAAGCATTAAGATTGTACTTATTATATTAACTAATTAGATGAATATTGAGACAAAATCGTTTATCCTGCTTATTAGCTTATTATTCATTTTTTCTTGGTTTATTAGGTCTGTATTGTAATTGATTGAATTTAAAGTAATGACATATAAGACTAAATTTAAAATATAAAAACTTAGCAATAGACAACTAAAATAAGAACGAAACCTCGGGTACATGACTAAGATGGGAATAGATAAGCTATAAAATATAGAATAATGCATTAATGAGTCATCTTGACCAACAAAATAATATTCTTAAAACCAAAAATAAAAAATAAAAAATAACTTACGAAAAAAAAGGAAAGAAAGTCACATACATACACAAAAAAGTGAACATCAATTAAATGGAAAGTCAGACACTCCTAATATTTGGTTCAAAGTCCTCCTGATTAGGTTGTCGATTTTTGGTAAGATCTTGTTTGATTTTGAAATTCGAAACTTTAGGCCTTTTTACATAGTTTAAATAAGGAAGCATTTAATAATCAAAATTTTAGTATATTTCAAAGTCCTAAAAATTAGGAAAAATAATTAAATGACAATTTTATCCAATGTAAAATTAATTTTAAAGGGTAAAAAGGGCGAACGATATTTCGCTAAGGACCTTCGTATTTTTAATATAGTACTAGTCTGTGTTACCCTATCCCAATAAGTAATATCTCAAAGAATTACATAAATGTTATATTATTATGGTTGAGTTATAAAATAAAGTTAAAGTTCAAAATTGTAAGTTTCTAAAAGTGATAATTATTGATCCTATTTAGCTAGGTAAAGGAAAATAAAACTTTGCCCCATATAAGTTCTTAACCATCTCATTCAATTGACAGAAAACGTCTTCTTTTTGCTCTCGAGCAAAATGCAATTTGTTCTATTTCTTTAATATACAAGAAATAATATAGGAACTATTTCCAACCGATTAAAAAAATAAATTACTATCACAGAAAGTAAATTCAACCACTACATTTTAATTAATCTACTCTTTTTTTTATTTTTATTTTCCATATATGAAATTATATGTATGAATTTATTCAAGAGTTTTATGATGCTTATTACTATATTATAATCGAATTTGCATTATTTTTTATTTTTTCCACCGCAAATGCTATTCCTATAAAAAAAATCTAGTTTTTGTATCTAAAAGTCTTGTCGAAAAAGGGTTTACTTATATGATGATTTGGAAAGAAATTGAATGGGATTTCTTTTAAATTTGTTTATTAAAAACATTAATATTTATTCTTATTAAAAGAAACGATTCAATTTTTGTTGATTGAAATTAGTAATATTAACTCATTGCAAGTTTTAAATATTTGGCTATAGTTATAATTTTATTTAAAATTATATTTTTCAAGCCTAAAAAATCAATCTGATATTTAAGTTTGGATATTGTATTAGCAAAGCTATTCATGTTTTTTTTTTTACTATTGCCAACAACCAAACACCTCTCTCTCTTATGTTTTTATAGTTACTTGTTGAAATTATTGAGGTGTAATTCTCAAAGATTATAGTATGAGATAAATTATACAAAGTAAATTTAAGTAAAATAAGTAGTTGGTGATATCAAAAATAAATTCTAATTTTAAGCTTTTAAAAGCCACTTAATCTTATAGTTAATGTCTAGTATTTTTAATATGTTGGTTTAAAAAGATTAATTTACATTCTAATATTTTTCCACCTAGATTTAATATTTTTTTTTTAGAATATGAAGTTTTTAGTGAATTAAAATTGAATTAGGACTATTTTCCTTAAGGTGGGAGATCAGAGACATATTTGAACTGGAGTGAAATACTAATAGAATAACTCTAAGATCTTTATCGATTGGGAATTTGTATCGTATTCAAAGATCACATAAATATTAAGAAAGGTTTAGTCAGTTAAAATTGTTGCTATTTTTCTAATTCAAGTAAGAAAAGATATAATATGCAAAAAAATAGCAAAAAAAATAAAAATAATTATTCTCAAATATTAGAAAAATAACCAAATGTCTATTATGCCTAGTGTGAACTTTATTTTGAAGGAGTAAAAAAGACGAACTATATTTCGCTAAGCGTGTACCTCATATTTATGAGAATAAACTTTTTAAAAACAGCCTAAGTAACATATTTTTTTAAATATGTTTATGTCATAAATAAAAAATAATCAAAATTGTAAATTTTTAAAAATGCTAAATGTTAATCATATTTAGGGGTTTAGATCCACCTTAGTAGTTCTTTCTCCAGTTTGTTCCCGTACTTACTTTATTGTACAATTAAATATAGCTAAGAAATATACTTATTAACATATTTGAAATCCATTTAAATAAAAATTCAAACTCATAATCTAGACAAAATGCATGTTATACAATATTGCTAACTTGATGTGCTCCATATTTCCGTAAGAACTTAAAACTCATAGGAAAAAAAGATAAAATCAAACAGAAAAAATAGGCACCACACCTTATAACTTGAAAATTAATACTCACTAAAATATTTATGATGAAGAATAAAAATATAATAAATACGGAGTATACTATAAGAAATAAGCAGGATAGCGTACCTGATCGATAAAAGTATCAAAATTCTATTTGGCTACAATGATGGTAAGTTGCTAACTGTCAATGTTTGTTCCTCAATAAGCAATTTGAGCTGACATTACAATTAGTAGTGATTATAATTTTAAAAGCATAGTATTTACGCAACATAGATCCTATACATAGATAGTACAAAAGACGCTAAAATTTTATAAGTAAAATAGAGAAATTATACTTTAGGATAAGGACTTAAGAAAAAAAATACGAAGCTTGAGAACATGATATTGTCTCAAGCTTCCTATTCACATAAACAATAGAGATAACTGTATTATGCTAATAGAATTTATAATCAAATTTTATAAACAATGCTAGCTCGGAAATTATGTTTCCTATTCACATAAATAACAAATTACATGTTCACAAAAAAAGACATGCGGATTGACACAGATAACTTTAACTGTATACTTATAAAAAAAATCACAAGAACTTTTGTTAATACAAAACTTCAAAATCATCTATTATCATAATTTCAATAATACCCTAAAGGTTAGAAAGTTTACCTCAAATCAAAGACAGTTTATTTTGGTAGATCTGACATTGTTAATAGCTTGTGATAAAGAATAGAAAACTAAAAGAATGTAGAATAAAAAATTGGAATAGTAATCGAATTTCATTTACAAAGAATAATAAGCTTCCTACTGAATCCCTTATGCTTTTCCCGTTTTAACTTTGACAAATTTGACTTTTCTGGCAAGCTATAACTGAAGCATCCTTTATTACGAATATTCTTTTTCCCTTTTATTATCATACGACAATTTTATTTTTCTTGCTTCAATTTCAAATATTCTTTGTTACGGATATTAATCAAAGAAGGAGTTTCCTAGTTATCTCCTTTCTTTTCCTTTTCAGCCTAAGTATTTTTTTTTCTCCAACAAAGAATTATATCTGTATTTACAATTTTATCCAACTTAAATTTACTTAAGAAGAGTAAAAAAGGCGAACGACATTTCGCTAAGGACCTTCGTGCTTTTAATATAGTACAGATAGATTTATGTATTATTGTGTGTAATCAATGTATAATCTATATATATGGCTAAAAAAGTAAATAATAAATATGACCGGCTATTTACGTAAATGATCCCTTTTTTTAAAAGAAGATACGACGTTATAAATACAATCAACTGACGAAATAAAGTTAAACATACGAATTGTATACATTGAATATAATTAATTAATTAGTTTTAGTAAAATGAAAAACAAGAGTGGCAATTTAAGATGCTCCAAAAGCATCTATTTTTCACTTTCTTTAGTTATTCTTGAAAGTATTAAAAAAAAAAAACATAAATAATTCAATAAGTAAAAGATAATGGATAACAACTAAAGCAAAGTGACCAATGTGTCTTTGTAATATGCTTCTCTAGAAACATAGCAATTTCTCCAGCAAAATATAAAATGTCTTAAGCATCAAATGCCAAGAAATGTAAAGATTAGCAGTTTCTCCTGCAGATTGATGCTATAAGCACACCAGCTCAAAAGTCTCGAGATAAGAGTGATCAAGAAATATAATTTCCCTATTATTTAACATATTTTTCTTAATCCTTTATGCTCAATCCAGCTTTACAAGCAAATCAGAACTTTCCTTTGACATTTAGGAAGTAAGTTGAAGTTATAGGGACATTAGAAGAGAGATGAATTTACAGTTCATTGGTTCAGGACACTAGAAGATGCAAGATAGGGATGTAACAACAACCCTTTAATTGGGAAATTCTGCAATTTCATCCCTTTTATTGAACCACACCCTTCAATCCAATGCCATTCCCACTTATCATTTTTTGCACATTTTCTCCATATTACCATTCCTGATTCAAGATCTCTATACAAACACATAGCACCAGCAGTACACACACATTTAGTATTAATACTACCCCATCTCCCTTTACCTTCTAATAATCTTGTCCCAAGTTCTTGTGGCACTTTCTCAATTATTCTCCAATTATTACCTTCACTAAGCTCCCATATACATGCTCCTGCATTGCGCGTTCCGCCAACGAGACTCAACTTCCCATTTCTTGGCACCAATGCTGCAAATTCAAGCCTGTCAGCCATTGGCACACTCAATTCTCTCCATTTATTCTTCCCAATTTCATATCCCATTATGGTATAAGCCCGAGCCGACGTGATCCAATACAGGACACCGTTACAGTAAACGCTCTCGTTTGGCGTCCAAACTGTTAGCCTTACAGCAAACTCCACAGGCATTGAACCAATCTTTTTCCAGTTATTGTAAATAGAATCGTACACTTCTAAGGTGGGCTCGTACGAGACACCTCCTCCATTAATGGTGCTAGCCTCTGACATTCCACCAGCCACATAGAGCTTGAATTTAACTGAATTCGATTCTATTACTCCAACAGCTGGATTAGTCCTTGTGACATTTAGCTTAGGGAGTTGTCTGAATTGTCTAGTGAAGGGGTTGCATATGGCTAATTGAAGGGTAGTAGCCGTAGCCTCTCTTAGTAATATCAGCCCACCGATTGCAGCAATGGGACGAATTGGATTAGGAATGAAGTCAAGAGGCAATAGGTGCCAAGAATCATCAATTGGGTTGTGAGCATAGCAGAAGTGCCCCGTGATGCGCGTTGGCAAGGCTACGAACCACGGCGGGTGGTGCCGCGGAGTTGAAGCTGAATTCTTGGCACATGTATACCAATTTTTGCAAGCTGATTTCGCCCTGGCTAAGGAATCAGGAGAAAGATAAGAGAAAATGTTAGCTAAGATATCAAAAGGAAGGTTGCTCCACATAGCGTTGGACGTCCCAAGGTTCTTGTTACAAAGGGGGATATAGAGGAATATATATGGCACAAACTACAAAGTGATTGTGGCTGAACAATGATTGAAGCAGAGATAAATTACTGGAGGATCTGATTTAGCATAGAGATGCGTGATCCACATGTGTGTCTGTGTCCAGTTGCTTAAAGTTGTCTTTTGTACATCTTTTGTCGTTTTATGGTTATTTAATGCTTAAATAGTGGTTCTTGGAATTGCCCAAGAGCCATGAACATTTAAAAAAGGAACTTGCGGCTTATCACTTATGCAATTTGTAGCTATCCTTTTAATTCTTGATAATGAAAGTTGCAGATACTAAAGTGATTTCATCATAGCATGAAAGAAGACAGGAATTGTGAGAATTTTCTATGTATTGTATTGAGAATGTAAAGTTATATATATATATAGATTTTATCCTACTGTAGAATAACAAATAAAGTATATTCCTATACACTTGTACTACTCCTATTTGTCTACAATATAACAGAAAAAATCATAAATTATTCTTTCCCATGTGCTCACGTGAGAAGCACGTGAGATATTGCTTCTGGAAACATCCTTATGTACAGCTATTAAAATAATAATTAGATGGTTGAGAATGAAGGATCATGACCATCCATGATTCTTCCACGTGTAAGGCTCAGCTTCAGTTGATTAAAGACAATTAGACAACACAACATAGATAAGTCCGAAAAACTTAGGTGTGTGTCTGAGATGTCTCTTCTTCTTCCTTCTCTTTCCTGTGTGAAACTCTGTGTAAAAATGGCTGTGAAGAAGCCATCGTCTCCTTCTCTTCATCATCCCCCCTCAAGCTGGTGGGTAGAAACAAAACCCCCAGCTTGCTCATGATGGTGGTGTGAGAAACCCCAGATAAGGGTTTGGTAAAAAGATCTGCGAGTTGGGATTTCGAAGGAACAAATGATAGAGATATCAAACTAGCAAGAAATTGATGTCTAACAAAATAACAATCCAACTCCACATGTTTAGTCCGTTCGTGGAAAACGGGATTGCGGGCGATATGAATTGCCGCCTGACTGTCAAAGTGTACTGGGACCGACAAAGTTGGAGGAGCAGATAAATCAGCAAGAAGTCGAACAAGCCAAGTGATTTTAGCAGTCACCCGTCGCATGGATCGATGCTCAGATTCATCGGATGACAAAGAAATGGAAATCTGCTTCTTCGATTTCCATGAAATGGGAGCACCTCCAAGGGTAATAAAAAATTCACTGATGGAGCGACGAGAATCTTTACAAGTAGCCCAGTCAGCATTGCAAAAGGCGACGAAATCAAAAGAAGGAGCAGAAGAAAGAAGGATACCTTGACCTGGGTCGGAACTAAGATAGCGGAGTACCCTGAGACCAGTAGAAAAATGTGAAAGAGAAGGTATTTGCATAAATTGACTGAGGCAAAGAACAACAAAACAAATATCTGGACGAGTGTTGGTGAGATAGTTAAGTTTACCCACCAATCGTCGATAAAGAGTGGGATCCTCCATGGGTGGTTCTAATTCAGCGTGCCATTTGGAGTATGGATCAAGAGGAGATGAGACAGTAGGCCCTTTACAATCAAACTCAGCCAGCAGTTCCAAGGTAAATATTCTTTGACTGACTATGTATCCTTGTTGTTCTTTGAGTATTTCCATCCCCAAGAAATAGTAAATATTCCCCAAGTTCTTAACTTTGAATTCAAAATCCAAAAACTTAGTAATATGTTGTATTTCTGTGTCATCATTTCATGTGATAAGAATATCGTCAACATATACTGCGATTATGGATATCCTCTTGTCTGTGTGTTTGTAGAATAAGGAATAGTCATTCAAGGAACTAGAATAGCCTTTGTAGCTTAGAGCACCTGCTAAACAAGCATACCATTGCCTTGAGGCTTGTTTTAGACCATAGAGTGATTTCTTCAATAAACACACGTGATTAGGATGAGAGGGAGTGAGACCAACCGGAAACTTCATATATACCTCTTCACGTAGATCTCCATACAGAAATACATTGTTAACATCTAATTGTGAGACCTCCCAACCTTTCTTAATAGCTACAGTCAGTAAGCACCTGATAGTGGTCATTTTGACCACTGGATTGAAAGTCTCAGAATAATCAATACCTTCCCTTTGTATACCCCCCTGACAACCAACCGGGCTTTCAACCTTTCAAGTGATCCATTTGATTTGTGATTGACCTTATAAACCCATTTACAAGGCAATGCCTTCTTGCCTGGGGGTAAAGGGACTACATCCCAGGTGTGATTGAGTTGAAGAGCTTGAATTTCAGCTTCCATAGCTTTTCTCCATCCAAGATCTTGGGAAGCTTGAGTATAGCTGGTAGGTCCAGAAACTGTGGAGATAGATTTGAAAATGGCCTGATTGTTAGGAGAAAGAACTCCAAAAGAAAACACATGAGGATGAGAAACATGATGAAAATAGGATGAGGTAAGATCGGAGAAAACAATGTTATTGCAGACATAGTTATTAAGGTAGGTAGGTTTCTGAGAAATCCTCTCAGATTTTCTTATAGGAGGTGGTGGAATTAGGATTATAGGCTGTGAACTAGGGCAATCAGTAGGAGATGGGGAAAAATTTGGAGGGCTGGGAACAGATAGAGGAGTACCAGGAGTATTGATAGAAATAGGGGTGCTGTTCTCAGAAGTGTTGGGATGTAGAGAGTCAGGTAAGTGTGACTGATGATTAATAGTTGAGGTAGGAGATGGGAGATACTTAGAAGTAGTTTCAGTAGTGGGATACAAGTGAGGGAAGAAAGGATAAGAAGGGAAAAATAACGATGAGGTCATAGGAGCAGAAGCAAATGGAAAAATTGTTTCATGAAATTTAACATCTCTTGAGGTAAAAACCTTCTTGGAATGGAACTCTAGCAATTTGTATCCTTTCTGTTGTTGTGCATATCCTAGAAAACCACAAGCTTGTGCCCTGGGATAAAATTTGCTTCTATGTTGTGATGAAGTAGAGGCATAACATAAGCATCCAAATGTCTTGAGTTGTTCATACTGTGGACTCCTTTTAAACAAAATCTCATAAGGTGTTTTTCCTTTTAGAACTCTAGAAGGAAATCTATTGATTAGATATGTAACAGTTAAAACACATTCTCCCCAGTATTGAATAGGAACTTGTGACTGAAAATACAAACTCCTTGCCACTTCTAAAAGGTGCCTATGCTTTCGTTCAACTACACCATTCTGCTGGGGTGTTGTCACACATGAAGTCTCATGTAAGATGCCTTGAAACTGAAAAAAATCAGATTGAAAAGATCCCTTACCTAGTTCCATTTCATTATCAGATGTGATTCTTTTAACTTTCCTTCCAAATTGTCTCTCTACCATAACTAAGAAAGACTGTAAGATAGTGAAAGCATTGCTCTTAGAACTTAAAAGAAAAGTCCAAGTTCCCCTACAAAAATCATCAATCACTGTCAAAATATATTTGTATCCATTGTAAGTGGTATTTTTGAATGGTCCCCATACATCAATATGAAAAAGATCAAAAATCCCATGAGTTCTAATTTGACTTAAGGGAAAAGGTAATCTAGTTTGTCTAACTTTTGGACAAATATCACACATACAATTGAAATTGTAAAGAAAATGAATGAACTGAAGATTTTTTATTACTGAGAATGGCAGATGCCCCAATCTAACATTCCATTGGAGTACATTAGAGTTCTCTGTATAGGAATTAGAAACAGAACAAGAAACTTCACTGGGAACAAGAATGGAATCACTTCCTTTTGGAATTGAAAATACATTGCTATTTAAACTAAAACCAGAATCTATCTTAAGTGGGCTAGGCTCCAACATGTACAATCCTCCTCTTAATTCACCAAAAGCTTGTCCCCTCCTCATTAAAGAGACCTGCATGATGCATCCACTAGAAGTTAGATTGAGTGAGCAACGAAACTGGACACACAACTTATGGACTGAGAGTAAATTATATTTGAAGGAAGGAACATAAAGGACCCTTTCAAGATTCATATCATATTGAATAGGAACTCTACCTATATGTGTGACATATAATTGAAATGAGTTAGGAAGGCTAATATGTACAGGAACGGGAAGTGGATCTAAAGATAAGAAATAATTTGAATCAAAACACATGTGTTCAGAAGCCCCTGAATCAATGATCCAGGTTTTATGTTAAAAGCTGCCAAACAAGTTCCAGTATATTTAAGAATGGTACCAGCTACTGCATTTGCATTGATTGCAGTTCCTGGTGTTGTTGTATTTCCAAGTTGTGCCTGCTTGATAAGATTCATCAGCTCAGACATATGTTCCTTACTGAAAAACTGGGTTTGAGGTGTTAATTCATTGCTTTGAGTGCTCCCATTTTCATTCTCATGTCCTTCAATTGTAGCATTAGCCTTGACTTGTGTTGATTTAGTGAATTGGAAATCATCTGAAAATCCATTTAGCCTGTAACAATCTGCCCTGACATGTCCAGTTCTCATGCAATGTGTGCAGCTCACATTAGGATTAAATTTTGCTTTTCATACCTTAGATTTCTGCTGTGTGTTATTAACCTTTTATGAGTTGGTCCATGTCTTTTGTTGTGACTGATTGTTGTTTCTTTGTGGTGCCCTGCCTTGAAATTCTATCTTAAATGAGGTAGCATTACCATTGAACTGTGGACTTGCATATATCTCCCTTTGATTTTCATCTTGAAGAAGAAGTGAATAAGCAAAATCTATTCCAGGCAATGGATTCATCATAAGGATATTTCCTCTTGCCTGGGAGTAGACATCATTTAGTCCCATTAGAAATTGAATAATCCTTTGGTCTTCTAAGAACTTTGTGACTTTCCCTTTTCCATCACAAACACAATCACAAGAGTAGACCAGATGAGAGTTGAGAGAATCAAGTTCATCCTATAGTTTCTTGAGTATGGTAAAAAATATCCAGCAATGCTGTTGCTACCTTGAACTAACATTGATATTTCTTTCTGTAGTTGGTACAGTTTGGCTCCA